CTTTGTGTAGGCGGCACGCGGGGGCGGCTGGTTTCTGCGTGTAACAGTGCGGAGCGGGTGGTGCGGCATCGTACCACAGTTAACACGGGCTTCGGGGAAAAGTAACGTTTTGGAGTCAGTCCTGTCGTCGTCTTTGTTCCGGGCAGCTGCGGAATTACGTTCGTGGAGCTGTGCTGCAAAAGAAAAGGATGGGGTTTAAGTTATCCTCACGTGGATGTTTGTGTTTTGCTTTGCTGAGGTTTTCTGTGCTGCACCATCACAAACCGTGCTGAGTGAGCTCCCCTGCAGAGAGGGGGTCGGGTTCTGGGTCTGAGTTGGGCCAAACGAAACTTGGAGCAATTCAGATGAGGTTTTTGTTGTTTTTTTTTTTTTTAACTCCTTTACGTTAGAATAAAGAACGTTGGAATTCATTCCAGAAAATGCGATAGTGCGATAGCTTCTAAGGAAAGAAAATGGGGAAACAATAGGGAGAAACAGAGAGACATTATCTTTGCTTTGCAAAGTGCTTCGCTTGCATCCTGGCTCCAGCAGCTGTGCGCCATTTTCAAAAACTGGCCTTTCTCAAAGTGGGTGGCCCTTAGTCACCTAAGTGCTTGTAAAATTATTTCCTTGTGTAATAACGCCTTACCTCAGCGCAACCCACTGAAGTGGGCGCTAGCAAACTCGTGGACACGGCTCTTCTGATGAAACAGTTCTGGCCTAACGCTCACCGCAGCGCAGAGCACGGACGCCGTCAGCGGGATGGCATCGCAGCGCTCACGTTAGTTTGGCCCCTTGTAGACGTGCTTTGCAAATACCGCTCCTAGGCATGACTGACGTTTCTGGCTTGTTAGCACACGGGAGTTACGTTAGAGGGTAGCAGCGGACGTTGCGCTGCACACCTCATCAGCGCGGCCAGTTCTGCGCGGTGCGTTAAGAGCCGGGAAAGGACAGACTGGAGGAGAAGGAGGGGGGAACCAAAGGAGGGGGACTGATCATTAAAAATAAAGACTGTTTTTTCAACCTTGGAAGCTAATTTTTTAAATTGTACTTTACAAAATTTGTATTTATACAGAGGTAAAGCCATCATTGTTTTAAAATCCTAAAACAAGGGAAAGATAGGGCCGTCGATAAGCGAGGAACGACAAAAAGGCGTGACAGAAAGTGAGGAAGATGTGGGGAGGAGGAAGGTCTGAATTAGCACCATCATCATTGCCATCCTGCACTAGACAGGGCTTTTTGCCTCTGTGTTTAACTTTCTAGAAGGCGAGGATTTTCTTCTAGAGCTGCACTGTGATCTGTGAACTGCAGACACTTCAGGGAGGCAAGGCGCAGTTCTCTAAATTTTGTTAATGATGGTGGCAGCTTGGTTGGCATTGTGAAAAGGCAGGCCATGCAAAAATCTTCACTAGAAGGATTAGACGTCATGCCTAACATGATTCATTCCTGCGTTCATTGAAAGAATTCCAGTTTCAGGGTAAGCGGCCACAGACGGAAAAGGGAATTGAATGCCAAAATAAATATCACCGAATTTTTCATAGCAAGATGGCTAGTGAATTTCCAATTGTCCAGCGCAATTCATATACTTTGTATGAAAGGAGAGAAGCTTCCCCTAGAGACTGAGGCAGCCACAATTTCAAGGACAAGTTTCATGAGAGAAATCCAATTTTTACAGGAATGAGCTTACACTGCTGCTGAGAAAGGCCTGTTTTGACGGTAACTTCCAGGTTTCACACCTGTTGCATCAGCAATGAATCAGCACACATCAAGCAAGAAAATTATCATTGTAATATTTGCTGTCAATGCAAGTGGGAAGCTCCATTTGCCATTGGCTGGTTTGGGCAAAGAGGAAAAGCCTGAGTCATTCAAGGACACAGAGGTGCAGTGCCTGCTGCTTTATTACTGCTGTGGGGAGGTGGTACGGGTGAGCAGGGACCCTTTCCCTGTTCGGTTCATACACAGCCTGTGCTTGCTGTCCTTCTTACATCTACAATGCTTGTCTGAAAACAGCAATTTTAGCACCCCCTCAACACTGCCAGGAGGACCAACTAATGATAGATGATAACCTGTTTTCTTGCCACATTCTTATCAAATATGATTTCTCTTGTGCTGCCAGTGTACCAATGACTCAGGCTACCAAAACCAAAAAAAAAAAAAAAAGGAAAAATTCAAGGAGGCATTATTGCAAAAGTGTTTAGCCCAACAACATGACAAATCTGCTGTGCGAAATTTACTGACTCTGTAAGATATACAAAAGACAAAAGTAGTGAATGTGGTCAGATACACCACACTGCAATGTCTTACATAAACTACAGCCAGATCCTGAATAAAACAAATGTTTCTCTGATTATGAGACTGATGCACAGGAAAAAAACAAAACAAAACACAACAAAACAAAAACCTCCAGCTTGTAAATAATCTTAATAGTTTGGAAGAGCTAAGTGAAGAAAATTTCCAAGAATCGTTCCTATATGACAGCAGCTAGCCTGAGTGCCAAGCTCTACATGACACTGAAGTCATTACTACTGTTCAAAGAGAGTATACGATGAGAGGGCAGCTAATCGCAGAGACATCACTGCTAAGCTTGCGCCTCCCATAGAAGTGACTATAAAGCCTAAGCTATAGAGATTCCAGAGTGTATTTATAATTTTCAGTCAGTGAAAAGGTAGCGTATTTCAAACTCCTTTGGCTATGCCCATTGTGCTCACACAATTTCTGAAGGTCACAAGATTTCTTCTGAAGGTCTCCCTGAAAAACCATTCTGGATAACAGAAATCTTGCACTACTGCTCCTGTTAAAGTACACAGGTTACACTTAACGCTAATCAATATGCTTTCCGCTAACCCGTACATTTATCTGATGAATTACAGAAGGTTTTTAAAAGCTACTTTACGAAAAATGACCTAGTAAATATTTTCAATCATCAGTGGGTTTAAAGAGTATACATATGAAGTAGAACTTTAATCTGTTCATTTGTCTTTTCTTGCAGGTATGACAATATTAGTTACTATTATTCTCCTCTGGATTACTTAGTGCAATGCTTTGTATTTATGAGGAGGCAGTTGGTGAGTGAAACCGATGAAGGGAGCCTGCTCTTTACTTTCTGCCAAGAAAATTCTTCAGATGCTGTGAGCTCTAAGAAAAGCAATGTTAATATGATTTGCTGGGGGAAATAATATAATAGAGCTGCAAAAATAAATTATTAATGGGTAATATAGCCTTCATAACACATCTAAATACAAAAAGTCACTGGATAGGTACAACTTTAACTAATAATCTTGCATTTTGCATGATCTGGGAAAGTGAAGTGAGGGGAAGGCAGGTGAAAGGAAATTGAATTTGTTCAATGGGATCTGTCAGATTTTAAAAGAGGTCATCGGGTCCTATGCACGCTAGGTGGAATGGGAAAGGAGGAGAGTTAGCAAGCTACAAGTCTGAAAAAGTCCCTTGGGAGTGGACTTAGTGCTCAATGGCACAGGCTTTGCTCTGCACGGGAGTTTCTCATCTGTGAGCAGAGCTTTCCTGCCAGGCTTGGCAGCGCTAGTGGGAAGAGGCTGTGACTCTCCTCCCTAGCCTGGTAAATCTCCCAGTAAACATGCAAAAAAGTTTGCAGGACTAGGACAGTGGCTTTTTTTTTTTCCTCTCGCAGTCCTTCATCCCTGAGAATAGATGGACCCAAGGGTCCTCAGAAACTTAATAGAGCCAACAGAGCCAAGCACTGCTGGACTTCTATTAGACTTTCTCTCAAATCTTTTTTTTTCTTTTTTTTTTTTTTTGGATCTGAAAGCCAAAATTTCGTATTTCAGGTAATATGTTTATAATGTTTACAGCTGACAAAGCCAAAATTTCAGTGCAAAATTTTACAGCCTGTAGCTATGGCTGACAGAGAAGCCCTGGCCTGTGTTTTTTTGGTCTCAGGAAGTAAGTTGTATATGAATATAGTGGGATTAGAATGAAGTGCCCACATATATGCTCAGCACCTCTCACTCGCATAAAAATACGTTTCAAAGCATAACCGAAAATGTCTGAGTGAAAACAGTGAGTTCAGCAAGAGGTGATCAGTTAAACATTTAGGGAGGTCATTTGATAT